ACACACACACACACACACGCACGCACGCACATACATATACACACACACACACACGCATACACACACACACGCACGTACGCACATACATATACACACACACGCATACACACACACGCACATACATATACACACACACACACACCACACGCATACACACACGCACGCACGCACGCACATACATATACACACACACGCATACACACACACGCACACACACACGTACACACACACACGCACGCACGCACACACATACACGCACACACACACACCACGCGCACACACGCACACACAATTGTAGTGGCACCACCATACTCACTCACCTATGAGATCTTTGTTTTTTTTCTTCTTTCCAATTCTGTGACTTTATTTGCTCTCCATCGAGTTAGTTCTCAGATCACCTCTGTGTTGGTGGTGCAGCCGCCCCTCCTCTTGGCGCTTTCCTTCGCTGGAGCCGTTCTGCCAGGTCCACGTGGGAAAGGAAGGGCTCAAAGGGTTGTGGGCAGAAGGTATAACTTCCAGGTCACAGGGCATGGAGAGTGGAGGTGTGGCTCGGCATGTTCAGGAACCTAATGATCTACCAGACCTCCATCCTGGGATGGATGGAGGAGCGCCCTGCAGTGAAGTAGCGGCCCTGTCAGGATGGATCACATGGCATCAGCGTAATCTCCCTGAATGTTTTTCTTTGTGTTTTTCCAGGCAATCGATAGCATCCATCAAGTAGGCGTTTACTGTCTTGCTCTCGTGCCTGCCAACACATTACCAAAAACTCCACTAGGAGGGATCCATATATCTCAGACGAAACAGCTCTTTCTGGAGGGATCTCTGCACCCATGTAATATCCTCATGTGCCCACATACATGTGTGACGAACTTGCCCAAACCCCGACAAAAGCAACCAGGTAATAATCTGGCTTCTAGCCACAACCTCACAGGCAGCTTCTAGAATCTAGTCTTTCGGCGCGGTGCTGCATGGGCTTAGACTCTCCAGAGATAACATAAGGACCGCACGTGCTGACCAACACCAGGAAGACTGCTGTCCTGCGGGACAGGCTGCTGCTGCTGCTGCTTTTGGCTGAGTTTGCCGCAGTCATGGAGAGAGGGAGAAAGGGGTGAAGCTCATCCTTTGTTGATAAGAGCAGCTGGTATTCAGTGAGTGCTCACTAAAAGCCACATGCTGGCTATGCACATTACATGTGTGATCCTAAACGTGAGTCCGTAAAGTCCCGTGGCTTGTTAGTGCGGAGCTGAGAATCACTCGCAGTGCATTTCAGCACACCGGCTTTCCGTGGGATCTCGTGCCCGGGATGACCTCTCCCCCTCCCAGCTGCTGAAGTTTGGAGTGGGCCTATCTTACCTCTGGGTTACAGGCATTTTCTGAGTTATAAGTAGAAGATAAACAGCGTGCGTAGTGTTGGCCATTTTCAAGGTACAAACCAAAAGAAGATGGAGAAGAGAAAAAAACGCAAACCAGTTCCACCTTCTTATCTGATTTCTGAGCAGAGAAATGTCACAGGCCCAGGTAGAAAGCTAAGGCACTGCTTGTGACTGATTGTCAGGCAGTCTCTTCAAACATGTGTCAGGTCCAGTTGAGAGCCTGTCTCAAAAGGAAAGGCGGCAGGGTGTGGTGGCATGAGACAGGCGATCTCTGAGTTCAAGACCAGCCTGGTCTACATAGTGAGTTCCAGGCCGTCTAGGACTACGCGGTGAGTCTGGTCTCAGTGAGAGAGATGAGGAGGGGCTTAAGCTGGCATGGCCTTACTACACTGTGCCCACCCCTCTGTGTTAGAAAAGGAGGATGAGAAGCCCAGTGAGCTTCCTGGAGGTACAGTAGACTTTAATCTTTATTTCTTTTTTCTTTTTTTGGTTTTTCTAGACAGGGTTTCTCTGTGTAGCAGTCCTGGCTGTCCTAGAACTCATTCTGTAGCCCAGGCTGGCCTCAAACTAACAGAGATCCACCTGCCTCTGCCTCCTGAGTGCTGGGATCAAAGGCCTGTGCCAACACTACCCAGCCTCTTAAATTTGTATTTAGGGTGTATCAGTATTTTGTCTGCATGTATGACTGTGCGTCACATGAGTACAGTGCCCAAGGCGGCCAGAAGAGTGTGTAGGATCCCCTGGAACTGGGTTTCTGAGGTTGAGAGCCACCGTGTGGGTCCAACCGCTGAGCCAGCTCTCCAGCCTCCAGATCTGCTTTTACTGTGACCACCTCCTCAGGCCGCATACACGTGTGGCTGTGAAGAAGACCAGTGCAGTTTGAGAATCTGGCACTGAGGAGTGGAGATGGTGAGGGAATAGTGTGGGAGTTTGAGACTTGGTAAAAATTCAGAAAAGTAGCAGCTGGGGAGACGGCTCAGCCGTTTAGAACACTGGCCTCTCTCAGGGGACCTGGGTTCAATTCCCAGCACCTACATGACAGCTCCCAACATCTGTAACTCCAGTTCCAGGGGATCTGACTCCTCTTCTCACCTCCTCAGGTACTGCACGCACATCCTGGACAGACAGACAGACAACGCCCCCACACTAAAAGTCAGTCAGTTGATAAATGTTTAATTCAGAAAAGTAGAGAATTGAGAAGAGAAAGATGGTGGTGTAGAGTGAGCCTCACTGAGATGCTGTTGGCACATGGAAGTGTGTCGGTGTGGTCTTGGCTCAGGTCACAGAAACTGGAGGCAGAGTCAAGTCTGTTTCTCGTCAGGTGGAAGAGTCGGAGCAAGGCAGGCCTGACGACGATGATCGTTCTTCAGGTGTGCTCTGCTGCTTCCTGTCTTTTTTTTTTTTTTTTTTTTTTAGGACTTACTATTTTTTGGGTGTTTTCCTGCATTTATGCCTGTGTGCTGTGTGTGTGCAGAGGCCAGAGGAGGGAGTCAGAGTCCCTAGAACTGGGTTAGAGGTGGTTGTTAGATGGCTGTGTGGGTGCTGGGAACTGAACCTGGTCCCCCAGGAGCAGCTATTCTCTCAGGGCCTCTCGGCTCTGGTGACTTGTCACTGAGCTGTTGGTATAGGTGTGCTACATGACAATAACCCTAAAGCGCAGTGCCTTCCAATGGCAGGCATTTGCTCTTCACCCATGGAATATGCATAAGCTGCAGGCCCTGTTCAGAATTTGCCCATGTTCTCCTCTGTGGCATGGGCTTTGCCCTCGAACCCCAGCCTCCTTACTCCTGGATTTGCCGGTGTGGGCCACCGTGCCCGGTTTGGCTGTCCTCAGGACACATGGCTGCAGCAGGAGGGCCAGCCCGCCCACACAAGTGTGGTCAGGGTGTCTCTGTTACCACCTGCTACTGTTTCTTGTCCAGAGCAAGTCAGAGCAAGCCCTCGAGTCGGTGTGGCCGAGTGGAGTCCAGTGTGAGTGAGCTAACACAGGAAGGGAGGTTCTGACCAAATCAGACTGGCCACGCGCCTCTGTAGCAGATTGTCTTGGATCCGTGGGCTGCCTGACCTCTGGTCAGTGGCTCTGCACCCCAGCTAGCAGAGAGGAGAAAGCTGTAGAAATCACATGTGACCTGCTCTCCCTTGTCTGAAACTAAAGGATGCAGCCTTCATTCCAGGGATGTTTACAGATAAACTGGGTATCAGTTCTTAGACAGTAGATGTGTCTGAGTTCCAGGCCAGCATGGTCTACAGGGAGTTCCAGGCCAGCTGGGTTGGTACAGTGGAAACTTGTCTAAAAAAAGAAGAAACAGGAAAGAGAACTGGGATGTGTTAGTGAGGAAGAGAATAGTAAGTAGAGCATGGTATTGGCCTCAGGACACTGTCAGGGCTTGGTGGGAAGGGTGAGGGGGCTCCAGGTAGAGCTGTGACAGTAGCTGCCAGGAACTGCCTCCCACTGCTCTGTGCACTCTGACCCGTACACTCAAGAACCGCACCCAGAAGACCCTTGTCTCAGTCAGTGTTCTGTTGCTGTGAAGAGACTCCACAACCACAGCAGCTCTTATAAAGGAAACATTTAATTAGGCTGGCTTACAGTTCAGAGGTTTAGTCCATTGTCATCATGGCAGGAAGCCTGGCAGCATGCAGGCAGACATGGTGCTAGAGAAGGAGCTGAGAGTTCTACGTTTTGATCCTCAGACAACAAGAAGTGAACTTTGTTCTCGCGGGGTGTACCCCCACAGTGACACACTTCCTCCAACAAGGCCACAACTCCTATTATTGCCACTCCCTGTGTGCCAAGCATTCAGACACACGAGTCTGTAAGGCCAAACTTGCCATTCCTCCACCAGTCCTCCAGATGTTACTGCTGAGCAGCATCTACTTTTTAAAATGTCACTTCTGGGGCTAGAGAGATGATCAGAGGTTGAGATACGTGGTGCTCTTACAGGAGAAACCGAGTTCATTCCTGCACCCACATTGGGGGGCTCACAACCACCTATAACTTTAGTTCCAGGGAATCTGACTCCTCTTCTAGCTTCTGCAAGAATATGCACACACATATGCATACACATGAATAATAAAATAAATATTTAGAAAATCTATTCATTGTAAACTGTAAAGCTAGTTCAGATCATGTTCACAGGTGCACTCTGGGTCCTTCCTGTGTGAAGAACTGTTTGGAGAATGCATATCATTTTATCATAGGAAAGGATGGTGCTTATTATTCTCAAATTGCTTTGGACGCTTTGCAGACAAGCTATTCTGACATCAGAGTGTAGGAACATCTCCCATTCTCAATTCTTTATATTTCATGAAAAACAGTTTAGAATTACATTTTGTGTGTGCGTGCATGCTCATCAAAGGACAGCTTGTAGGAGTCAGTTTTTTCCTTGCACCATGTTGATGCTAGGGGTTGAACTCAGGTCCTCAGGCTTGGGGGGGGGGGCTTGTTGAGCCTTCTTGCTGCCCACTTTCATTTTTTTTTTTAACTTCAGAAGTAATTGCAGACTTACAAAAAATTATTACTGGATATTCCTTATGTAAGTTCCCTAAATATTTACACACACACACATAACTTTTTTTTTTCCTGGAGGTCTCACTATGTAGCCTAGCTAACCTCCATGTTAACCACAGAGGTCTGTGCCACCATGCCTGGATATTTACTTTTTTAAAGGTGAGCCGAGTTACATGTTTTTATCACCCATATCAGTACATTTAAGAGCATATAAATGCTGAGAATAAAAGACATGGCATACTAAGCATCATCATTGTTCAGAACCCAGCTAGCTGTGGGTGGCTTCGTGGGTACTTGTTCCCCGCTGACTCTACAGCAGACTGCAGACGTCATGACCCTCTCTGCCTGTTCTGTTTGACACGTTTTCCAGAGAAGCCAGAACTGCAGCCACAAGTTGTCCTGTGTCCCGCAGTGCTCTGTCCTAAGTAGACGCACAGAGGCTTATATTAGTTACAGACTGTTTGGTCTGTGGCTCAGGCTTCTTGCTAGCAAGCTCTTTCAAATTAAATTAACCCATTTCTATTTCTATATTGCCGCGTGGCCATGGCATTACCGGTCTGCTGGCATCTTGTTGCTCCTTGGGCAGCAGGCTGGCATCTGCTCTGACTCCGCCCTCCTTCATCCTGGGTCTTTACTTGGATCTCCCACCTGGCTCTTATCCTGCCTTACCATAGGCCAGAACAGCTTTTTTATTAACCAATAGTAGCAACACATATTCACAGCGTACAGAAAGACCATCGCACAGCACAGAACTCTCCACTTGTTTATTTTAGCTGATTTTTTTCACTCTAGTAGTATGTCAACGTTGTGCATTTGACTGCATTATTTTGTCTTTAACTCATAGATGATTCTGGGTGTGATGGTGCCCATGGACAGGAAGCTGAGAGAGGAGGACCATGAGTTTGAGGCCTGCAATTTGCATTTCATCATTTACTTTTAATAAAAAACTTCTCATATTCCCTTTTAAAATTTATATATATATAATTTTATTCTATATATGTAATTTTTATTCTATATATAATTTTTTAAATAGGAAATATGAGAATTTTTTATATAAAAGTTATATAGACGTTTATATATACAGAGAGAGAGAGAGAGAGAGAGAGAATGTGTGTGTGTGCATTTCGCTTACATATGGAAATCAGGACAAGCTGCAGGCCTTGGTTTTCTTCTTCTGCCATATGGTTCTAGAGGTGGAACTCATACCATCGGACGTGGTGGCAAACACCTTTGCCCACTAAGCCATCTAGCTGGGCCAGCACTGCTCATATTTCTGGTGATCTCAGTCCATCTCCTGACAGGTGACAGGGTTTTTGCAGACCTGACAGCAGTTGCTCTTTTTAGGACTGTTTGTGGGAACCAGTGGAATGTGGACCCTGGAGCAAAATTCTCCCTGTGACCCAAGCTCAGCAGCCGCCTGTGCCCCTTGTCCCATCTCCCTAGGTCTCCTGGGTCTGTTTAACCCACCTTCAGCACTCCCACTGCCAACCATGCCCACACTGTGTACACTTTTTGGTTGCCGTTTTCATTGGAATACAGGCTCTTTGCCCCATGTCTGAAAGACCACATGCTTCCCCAATGTTGCTGAGTGAACTTGGGCCAGTCTGGAAATGTTTTGGGAGTGTGTGACTTGAATTGCTGTCTTCAGGGCTGGTTTTGCTTCTGTCTACAGGTGTAGGCCCTGCCTCTGTGATGGTCGGGAATCTGGTTGCCGGCAAACGCATAGCACAAGCTGCCGGAAGGGACCTGGGGCAGATTGAAGAGAACGATCTGGTGAGGAAGGTAAGTTCCAGATGTGTCAAGTTTCTGTCAGTGAGCTCAGGCTAGAGTGCAGGTGTGGGCCTGCTACAGGAGTCTTTGGAACTTGCTGACGTCAAGTCCTGTTCTCTCCTTTGTGACTTTAGCACCAGTTCCTGGCAGAGATTTTGCAGTGGCGAGCCCAGGCAACTCCTGACCATGTGCTCTTCATGCTGTTGAATGCCAAGGTATTAAAGCATCACTGCAGGGGTGGGGAGTGTTTGCCTAGCATGGACAAGGCCCTGGACCCTCCCCAATACTACATACCTGGGCATGGTGAGGCATGCCTATAATCCCAGCCCTGGGAGGCAGAAGTAGAAAAATTTGGAGTTAAAGATCATCCTCAAACTACACAGCCTAGAACAGCCTAGTTTAGCTGGAGTTACCTCCAGTCCCGCCCGGCCTGCAGCCACTCAAACCCAAATAAACACACAGATGCTTACATTATTTAAACTGTTTGGCCTAATGGCTCAGACTTCTTGCTATTTAGTTCTTATATCTTAAATTAACCCATTTCTATTAATCTATAAGTTGCCACATGGCTTGTGGCTTACTGGTACTTTACATCTTACTTCTCATGGTGGCGGCTGGCAGCGTCTCCTCACTTAGCCTTCCTGTTTCCAGAATTCTCTTCACTCTTCCCTGCCTGGCTACTGGCCAATCAGAACTTCATTTATTAACCAATCAGAGCAATACATTCACAGCATATAGATATCCACAGCACTTAGAACTAGAAAAATTTGGAGTTAAAGATCATCCTCAAACTACTACAGACCAGCCTAGGTTACATGAGATACTGTCTCAGAACAAACAAACACATGAATAGAATGTGCACCAAGAAAGAAACATTAAGAAATTAGGCCAGGCTGGGCCAGGTGGTGGTGGCACACACCTTTAATCCCAGCACTCGGGAGGCAGAGGCAGGCCTAGTCTACAGAGCGAGTTCCAGGACAGCCAAGGCTGTTACACAGAGAAAAAAAGAAGGAAGGAAGGAAGGAAGGAAGGAAGGAAGGAAGGAAGGAAGGAAGGAAGGAAGGAAGGAAGGAAGGAATTAAGAAAGAAAGAAAGAATGTAAGTATGTTTGGTTTACGTCAGTGCTAACAACCCTGAGTACCTAGGACATTGGGAAAGAAAAGAAATCCCACACCTGTCTTTTGTTACCAGGGGGGTTTTCTCCAGTTGATAATTCACCCAAGGTGATGTCCAGAGGCCTATAGAGGGTAACGTCTGCTTGTTTGTGCTTGTTTCACAACTGTACTGAGCTTCAACCACTTCTCCTTCTGTTGAAAGGGAACCACTGTGTGCACAGCCAGTTGCCTTCAGCTTCATAAGCGAGCAGAGAGGATTGCATCAGTGCTTGGTGACAAGGGACATCTAAATGCAGGGGACAATGTGGTGTTGCTCTACCCTCCTGGTAAGGGTTGCATTGGTAAACTGGAGTCTGAACTGTGTTATTAGATCACACATACCAGGAGAAGATGGGAACTCAGGGCCACCGTCTAGAACCACAGAGGCTTGGTGCTTCCCAACCCCAAGGCACTTCATGCACACTTGCGAAGGTGTGACCCAGGCTGCATCCCTGAGTTGAGTGATGTGACTGAGCTCTGTCTGTTTTTGCATTCCCTTCTGTTTCCATCAGTGCCTACTTAATGAAAGCCACACATGGCAGCACACTGCTGTAATTCCAGTCCTCGTGTGGTAGCAGGAGAATTAGATATTCACGGCCAGTAAGAGTTAGGTAACATGGGGCTGGAGAGATGGCTCAGAGGTTAAGAGCACTGACTGCTCTTCCAGAGGTCCTGAGTTCAATTCCCAGCAACCACATGGTGGTTCACAACCATTCGTAATGAGATCTGGTGCCCTCTTCTGGCCTGCAGTCATATATGCTGTATACAAAATAAAAAAATAAAAAAAGAGTTAGGTAACAGGGTTGGAGAGATGGCTCAGAGGTTAAGAGCACTGGTTGCTCTTCCAGATCCTAAGTTCAATTCCCAGCAACCACATGGTGGCTCACAACCATCTGTAATGAGATCTGGTGCCCTCTTCTGTCATGAAGATATACAGGAAGACGGAACACTCACACACATAAATAAATAAATCTTTAAAAATGCTGGAAGAATATACCCAGTGTTGATATCTGGCCTCTGCATGCACATGTACATGTGATCACAGACACATACACCACACACACACACACACACACACACACATTAAAAAAAAAAAATAAGAGTTATGTAACAAGTTACATATTCAGTCTGAGCTATATAACAAGACTTATAAGTAGCCAACTGTGGTAACTCACACCTTTAATCCCAGTACTCAGGAGGTTGATGTAAATCGATCTCTGTGAGTTAAGGCCAGCCTGGTCTACGGAGTGAGTTCCAGGACAGCAGAGCCACATGATGGACCTGTCTGAAAACAACAACACAAGATAGCCAGGTGAGGGAGCACACACCTACTAATCCCACCATTGGGAAGTAGCGGCAAAAGGATCAGGAGTTCATGGCCAGCCTCAGCTGAACACAGAACTAACAGAGGCTGAGGAGAAAGCTCAGCAGGTTAAGCGGTTGCCACAGAAGCGTGAGGACCTGAGTTTGGATCCAGTGAGGGAGCTTGTGGGTAAAAGTGCTTGATGACCTGATGTTGACCCCAGGAACTCACAGGAGAGGGAAAGAACCAACTTCCTAAAGTTCTCTGACCTCTGCATGTGCACATGCATATCACACACACACACACACACACACACACACACACACACACACACACACACCAGCAGTCCTGGTGCTGCAGAGGCAGGCAGTGGCCAGCTGGTCTAGGCAGATTGGTGAGTTCCAGGTTCAGTGAAAGAACCAATCTCACACAACAAGACGATGAGGCAGGAGAGTGGGTCAGAATTGAGTTCTTGCTACTTTTCCAGGGGACCAGAGTCAGTGTCTAACAGCCACCTGTAACTCCAGGTCTGTTGCTCTGTTCTGGCTTCTGCAGACATCCACATACACAAGTACATGCTTAGACACACAAACATACATGGGTACCTGCTTAGACACACACTACACAAGTATGTGCTTAGAAACTGACACACATACACAGATACCTGCTTAGGCACAGACATAACACATACATGGGTACATGCTTAGGCATGGACACACACATACACACACACACACACACACACACAGGTACATGCTTAGGCACAGACACACACACAAGTACATGCTTAGGCACACATACATGGGTACCTGCTTAGACACAGACTCGTGTGTTATAGAATAATCTTTTTGTACACTGTGAAGATGTATCTTTGCCAAGGGGCCCTCTGATTGGTTTAATAAAGAGCTGAATGACCAATAGCTAGGCAGGAAGAGGTTAGGTGGGACTTCCAGACAGAGAGAAAAGAAGAGGAGATGAATCTAGGTGCAGGAGGGACACAAGAGGACACAGAGGAAGCAGGACATGCAGGAGGAGAGGTAAAAGCCACAAGCCACGTGGCAGCTTAATAGAAATGGGTTCATTTAAGTGATAAGAGCTGGTTAGAAACAAGCCTATGCTAAGGCTCAGCTTTCATAAATAATAGTGAGTCTCTGTGCTGTGATTTGGGGGCTGGCTTTCCAAGAAAGCCTGCTATATATGGTGCCCAACGTGGGACACCAGATTTTTTTTTGGGGGGAGAGGGGATTCTTTGTTTTGGTTGGTTGGTTGGTTGGTTGGTTTTTCGAGACAGGGTTCTCCGTGTAGTTTTGGTGCCTGTCCTGGATCTCGCTCTATATACCAGGCTGGCTTCAAACTCACAGAGATCTGCCTGGCTCTGCCTCCCAAGTGCTGGGATTAAAGGCGTGCGCCATTACCACCCAGCAATTTTGGGATTCTTTTTATCATTTTATTAAAAAATAAAACTTGGGGATAAACATTAGGGAATAAACCTGAGAGATCCACAGAGTAGCTGAAACACGATCCTCCCCCTCTCCACTTCCTGGAAGGGCCGTGAAACCCCTCAGCTCCTTCCTTCTCCATGTCCTATCTCCCTCTGAGTGTGCCAGGAAACTCTTTGGTCCATCTCAGCCAGGTGAATGTGGACTCTGCTCTCCAAACTGAGGTCAGGCTCTGTTGGTGGTCTCGGAGCAATCAACACATACGGCTCTTAACCAACACACACACATCCATACAAATATTTAAAAGGTAGAGCACAATGGAGGAAGACACCCAACGCCAATCTCGACCTCCACTTGTGTGTGCACACACTGGTGCACATGCGCGCGCACACACACACACAGTACATTAATTAAAGTGCGAGGGAAGACTTTGACTACTTGACTTTTGGAAATCCTCTAAGCAAGGCATGTTGGTGTTCACCTGCTTTTCCAGATCCCTGAGAGCCAAGGCCAACCTGGGCAACACAGTGAGACCCCATCCTTTAAAAAAGGGGTGAAGGGACTGGAGATGAAGCCCATGCCGAGGCTCTGGGTTCAGCTCAGCATGAAAACCAAAAAGGACTGGTGTGTAGAGTGTTCAGGGAGGAACCATTTCCCCAGTGTCTTCCCAAGACTACTTGATGGGCTCTGTTGGCTTGACGCAGTTCCTACCCCAGGGGCGTTTGGCTCTCTGCTGCTTTTGTCTGTCATGGACTCAGCTCAGACACAACCTTCTCTGTCCAAGAAGAGGAATGTAGAGTTTATTTTGTGAAAGTCTTGTGCCAGGCAGTGGTGGTGCACGCCTTTAATCCCAGCACTCAGGAGGCAGAGGCAGGTGGATCTCTGTGAGTTCGAGGCCAGCCTGGGCTACAGAGCAAGATCCAGGACAAGCACCAAAACTACACAGAGAAACCCTGTCTCAAAAAAAAAAAAGAAAGAAAGAAAGAAAGAAAGAAAGAAAATTTTTTGTAAATAGTCATTCTTAGAATTTATTTATCCTTTATTATGTGGTGTGGGGAGGGGGGCACATGGAGGTCAGAAGACAACTTTTAGGAATTGGTTCTCTCTTTCCACTGTGGGATCCAGAGGTCAAACTCAGGTCAGAGGTGTGCACAGCCTGTGCTTCTACTTGCTGAGTCATCTCACTAGCCCAGGGTTCAGGATTCTACATGAAACGTTTGAATCGAATGACAAGCACGGGCCTGCAGAGGTGGCTCAGAGGTTAAGAGCACTGGCTGCTCTTTCAGAGGACCTGAGTTCAATTCCCAGCAACCACATGGTGGCTCACAACCACCTGTAATGGGATCTGGCGCCCTCTTCTGGCGCACATGAAGACAGAGTACTCATGTACTTAAAATAAAAATAAAGACAAGCACGAGAAGAACAAAGCCATGCGTCCCTCCTGTCCCCGACTGGTGTGCCTAGACTAGTCTCCGGTACTCTGTCCCCAGTGCTCGGTTCACTCTTCCCTGGCCTTAGCCCTCTCCTCCACTCTCTGCTCTTCTTTCTCTGCTGTTCATCCTCCTGCTCCAGGAGGGACGCGTCCTGTGTGTTGGCATGAAGTCGTCTTCCGTCTGTCAGGAAGGGAGTGGGGGTCGGCAGCACTGCCCAGGCCCTAAGCTGCGCTCGCTGACCCACAGCATTGGAGACGTCCATTGCTTGTCCTGCAGCAGCCCTTGTGCTAGGAAAGCGCTCAGGCCGTGTTCCCCTCCGTGTCCCTACTGCTCTAGTTCAGTACCCTTGAGTCCTGCAGTTATTTCCCCAAGTCATGAAAATCACAGCAACCTGCCTTCAGGCATCTTTCAAGAGCTCACTTCTTGGCTTGAGGATATAGCTCAGAGACATGACACTTGCTAGCCATACACAAAGCTCTGGGTTCAATTGCTGGCACCACCCAAGTGTGTGTGTGTACATACACATAGGAATATATATATGCACATACACACACACATATTCCTTCCTTGTCTCCTGGGCCTCTTTGTATATTTTAAATTGTTTCATAATGCTTCCTTCTTTTTAATTTTTTATGTTTTTGTATTGGCCTTTAACTATCACTATGTAGTCCAGGCTGATCTTGAACCCTTGGTTACCAAGTATGAGCCACCATGCCAGACTTTCTATCCTTCTTAGTTGTTAAAATTTATTCTGTCAGTGTCTTGTTTGAATTGTGGTCAGATAACCCATAGGAACCAGGTATGGTGACGCACACTTGTAATCCCAGTGCTTGAGAGACTCTGTCTCAACATCAAATGAAGCCAGGTGGTGGTGGCTCATACCTTTAATCCCAGTACTTGGGAAACAAAGGCAGGCAGATCTCTGTGAGTTTAGGGCCAACCTGGTCTACATAGAGAGTTACAGGACAGCCAGGACTGTTTCACAGAGAAACCCTGTCTCAAAAAACCAAAACAAAATCAACACCAAATGAATAAGTAGCCACCTGTCACGTGATTGGAGGCTGAGTTCAGTTCCTTGTGGTGGCAGCAGCCACGTGACTCCCCTGACAGTGCCCTCTGTCTTGCAGGCATCGAGTTAATCACTGCATTCTATGGCTGCCTGTATGCAGGGTGTATACCTGTGACTGTGCGGCCCCCCCATGCTCAGAACCTCACAGCCACGTTGCCCACAGTGCGCATGATCGTCGACGTAAGTACCCTCCTTATTTATGTCTGATCCATTTCACAGATTCACTTCAGACAACTAAGAACCCTAATAACTTCCTGGTTCTGTAGTGCCAAGTCTCACGGTTTTCTACTAAAAACTCGCCCAGTTTGGTGTGGTGGTGTGTGCCTGTGACCCCAGCACTCAGGAGGCAGATGTATAACTGTGAGTTCGAAGCCGGCCTGGGATATGTAGAAAGAGTCTGTGTCAAAAACAGACAGACAGGCAAACAAAAACAGACTAGCAGTTGTCTCCTTCTATCTGGCCAAAGTGGCGATCCTCATGCAGTGAACAGAAGAGCGATGATCGGGGAGGTAGGGACCGTACATGTTCATCCCCAACACTGAGCGTAGAGCTGTGCTTAGTCATTTTCCATAAAGCTGGCCCTATCTGTTCTGAAAACCTGTCTGACTCTTTTCCTGCACAAGAACCAGTATAATTTTCCACATCAAGTTCTCCAGTCAGGCCACTTTTGTTTGGGTTAATTTTGTATATTTAGCATTAACAGGTGTGTAGCGGGAGGGACTCCTTAGGCCCCGCCCCCAGCTGAGAAGTTGACGGCTCCCAGAGGAGGGGAAGTTCCTTTCTTTAGAGGGTGGCCACTCGGAGGCCCCATATCCCGGTGGTTGAGTCCATGCCTGGGTGCCGATGGGCAGCACTAGCTGGACTCAGTAGCTTAAAAATAAATGAATTCAACATTATAAAAGAGGGACATGAAGCGAAGAGGGAGGTGAGGTGAAGGGACGTGGAGGAGGTGGTGGAGGTGAATATAATCGTGATACACTGCACATGTAGATAAAGTTTTCAAAGAAGAAATAAAATTAAACTTTAGAAAAGCTGTGCAGGGCTGGGATGTGGCTCAGTGTCTGAACACTTGTTTATCCTTAGCAACGCCAGAACAAACACAACCCCCTGGATTTTGTCTTGGGGGAGATCGAAGTTTTTACAGTATGTGAGAATTGAAGTTGAATAACTCTATATTGTGTCATATCCTGAGACCTGGGACAGAAGATCAGCCTGGGCCAGTGCGCTGTCTGGCTACACACTTCTAGTTGACGGGACATTTGTTTCTCCAGACACAGCTTTGGCTGCAGCATAAAGCCATGCTCATCACAGATGACTTCATTACAGTTTAATTCAGCAGAAATGTCCTTCTTAGCTCCTACGGAGAGGCCTGGGGAAGCACTGAGAGTTTCTTTCTGTGGACGCACTTTGTGTGTCAAAGTAGGTCACCTTGCCTTTCCCGGCAGAGCTGAGCGGAGCCCATTGTGTGGGCTCCTCTGTCTGGCTCCCTGGCCTCAGAGTGGTGTGCATTGTAGGTCTGGATTGCACACACCAATTCTGGGCGTGCCCACCCCCTCCTCCCTTTCCTTCTCACTCCAGAATCCATGTCTTGGTTTATTAGGTCTTTCCAAAGATTAGGGTTGCGGGGTCCTTCCTGAGAACATCACCATTGTGAGCAACAGCCCCAGTGTTCAAGATTAGGGTTGCGGGGTCCTTCCTGAGAACATCACCATTGTGAGCAGCAGCCCTGGTGTTAAAGATTAGGGTTGCGGGGTCCTTCCTGAGAACATCACCATTGTGAGCAGCAGCCCCAGTGTTCAAGATTAGGGTTGTGGGGTCCTTCCTGAGAACATCACCATTGTGAGCAGCAGCCCCGGTGTTCAAGGGTCTGATATCCTGGAGAATTAAGCATGACACATTTTCAGAAATAAAAACAAAAGGGGAAGAGAATGAAACAGTCCTGGCCAGCATGGTGAGCAAGCTACTTCTAGCAGCGGCCAGTGCTAAGTCCTCGGATGTTTACTGCTGTCCCTTTGTTTCTAGGTCAGTAAAGCAGCGTGCATTCTCACCACTCAGACACTAATGAGGTTGCTGAAGTCTCGAGAGGCAGCGGCAGCTGTGGATGTGAAAACCTGGCCGACCATCATTGACACAGGTGAGGGGGGATTGCCCCAGAGCTGCTACCATTCACTCCCAGAGAGTCTCCCATCTACACAGCTTTGTATTCTGACGCCTCTCATTGTCTGACATTCCAGAGACCCAGTGTGTACTTCCAACCTGCTGACACAGTAAAGCCGTGTCCAAGAGCCAGCCCGTAATAGGCTAAGTGCTCGTTAGTGAAGTATCTTGCTGGATGTGATTGCTCATATCTATAATCTCAGGACTCTAGAGTCTGAGGCAGGAGGATTGTTAGTTCAAGCCCAGGCCTAGCCACAGTGTGAGACCCTATCACGGAAAAGGGAAAAAAAAGGCAAATAGTGTTTTGGTGATGCTTTTAGCATCATCCCCAAGGTGCTTATGTTTTATGGCTAGATACATGTAGGTCCATATAAAATATTGAGACGGGGCTGGAGAGGTCGCTCAGTTGGTAGCTATGTAAGAAAGAGTGAGAAGCTCCCTTTGATCTCCAGGAACCATGTAAACAGCTGGACCTGGAGGTGTGGTGATAGGTCCCTCAAGCTTGCTGGCCAGTCTAGCCTAACTGGTGAGCCCCAGGTCCCAGTGAGAGATCCTGTCTCAAAAAAACAAGGTGGGGGGCTGGAGAGATGGCTCAGTGGTTAAGAGCACTGACTGTTCTTCCAAAGGTCCTGAGTTCAATTCCCAGCAACCACATGGTGGCTCACAACCACCTGTAATGAGATCTGGTGCCCTCTTCTGGCCTGCAAGGACACATGCATGCAGAACACTGTATACATAATAAATAAATAAATCTTTAAAAAAAAAAAAAACAAGGTGGATGACTCCCGAGAAATGACACCCTAGGTTGACCTCTGGCCTCCATTGGCACACAGACACGTACACACATACATGCAGACCTGCAGATACACATGTACCTAGACACACCTAAACATGTCTACACACACACACACACACACACACACACACACACACACACACACACACACACACACAATCTGACCCTTGACTTGTAGGTGTGATGTAATTGAAACAGCAATGGACTAGAAGTCAGAAGACCTGGGCTCTAGCTTGAGATTCATTAACTGCTATGTAACCCATTCTACAATACTGTTGCTGTACTCCAAAGACGAAATTATCAAAGGTGATGCCAAATGAAGACCAAAAAAAAAAAAAAAAGATTTATTTAACTGGGTGGTAGTGGCGCACGCCTTTAATGGGGGGTAGGGGGACAGAGTTAGGTGGATTTCTGTGAGTTCCAGACCAGATTGGTCTACACAGCCAGGGCTGTTACACAGGAAAAAACCTGTCTTGAAAAACAAAAACAAAAAAAAAAAAGGAAGGAAGGAAGGAAGGGCGAACGAACCAGGATGTATGTGATTTTTAGGTGATATTCAGACATGGAACTAGCTGGAGGATTCGGGGAACAGGAAGAGTTGGGGTTCTGCACTTAGGACCTAAATCCTGACACCTCTGCTGCTCCTGAGTATCCTCCCTGGCGTGGATGAAACTGTGTGTAAAGGGAGGCTTGTAGAGCTCGGCAGAATGTACCGCTGGAGTGTGCTGCCACGGGGTACCACACAGCCAGCAGAATGTACCGATGGAGTGTGCTGCCACGGGGTACCACAGAACCAGCAGTATGTACCGCTGGAGTGTGCTGCCACGGGGTACCACACAGAACCAGCAGAATGCACCGCTGGAGTGTGCTGCCATGGGGTGCCACAGAACCAGCAGAATGTACCGCTGGAGTGTGCTGCCACGGGGTACCACAGAACCAGCAGAATGTACCGCTGGAGTGTGCTGCCACGGGGTACCACAGAACCAGCAGAATGTACCGCTGGAGTGTGCTGCCACAGGGTACCACACAGCCAGCAGTATGTACCGCTGGAGTGTGCTGCCACGGGGTGCCACACAGCCAGCAGTAGCCACCCAGTGACAGGGAGATCTTAAATCCACAGTTGTTTCTGAACTCAGACACCAAAGGACCATCATAGGGCATGGTTGGGCTAGAGACATCTTGATAGTCTTTGTTTTGACTTAAAAAGAAAATCTGGGATAAGGACAGGCTATCCTAGCATGTCTAGTTTTCTGCAGGACCAGCAGGGAGCCCTGCTCAGGACTGTGTGCATGTTAGGCAGTCATTCTGTGTCCCCAGCACTGGAAGAGTGTTCCAAATGAGTGAAAGAAAGTAATTCCAAATTCCAGAGGAGGGAGCTGTCCAACCTTGAGTAGCTGTGGTAAAATGTTCAAAAGCAACGTAAGGAAGGACAGGTTGGCTCCGCTCACAGGTGAAGGTGCAGTGCATTGTGGGAGAGCCGGGGCAGCGGGGCTTGGGGCTACAGCTGCTCACCCTGACTGCAGCGGGAGGAGGAGAGCATTGACACTCTTGTGTGTCTAGCCTTTTCGTTGTTATGTGGTACAGTACGGTGCCATGCTCCACTAGGTATTATATCTGAGCTCAGGTACCTAATCAAGATTATCCCTCATAAGTATGACCAGAAGCTAACGTGATCCAAATAATCCCCCCATGCATGTGCCTGGAGGCTGTCCCCCAGGGGATTCCAGATCCTGTCAGGTTAATAGTCAACACGGTCATACCATGCATGGTTAATACAGCATCCTACTCTGTAAATGATGTGCTTTAATGAGAAACAGCATAACAATAATTAATGCATTTTGAGCATATACACAATTGTTATTTTAAAAGTGCTTCATGTAGGGCCTGGAAAGATGGCTCAGTGGTTAAGAGCACTGGCTGCTCTACCAGAGAACCCAGGTTCAGTTCCTAGCACCCACATGGGCAGCTCATAGCCACTGTTCCAGTGGGATCCAGGCCCCTTCTGACTTCTTCAAGAGGCTCCTGCATGCGTGTGTTACACATACATACACTTAGGCTCCACATATAAAGTAAAATAGCAAATAAAATTTTAAGGGTTTCATGTGAGCTTACTTTCCAGTAACCCTAGGAAGGTAGGTATTTTAGAGATGTGTTTTAGAATAAACTGAAAGAGATGTCAAGGGAAAGGAACCCCAGGACACGGAGCTGTAGCACAAATTTTAAAAGTCCTTATTAATAAAAACAAACCTGGAGCCAGGCATCGGGGTGAATGCTGAAAGATCAGAGAGACAGAACAGGCCACAACTAACCTCACCTCGCCAACTTCTCAGCCGATTCTGTTTCCTCAAACTGGAAGCCTCTGAGTTCGTATCCGGAATGAATCTCAGCTAAACTGCTGCTAAAAGCCTAAAAGCTTAACTGACCCTAGTTCCTGGTCCTCACGCCTTATATACCTTTCTGCTTCACTCCCTGGGATTAAAGGCATGTGTCATCATGCCTGGCTGTTTCCAGTGTGGCCTTGAACTAACAGAGATCCGGATGGATCTGCCTCTAGAATGCTAGGATTAAAGACGTGTGTGCCACCATTTTCTGGCCTCTATATCTAGAAGCTATTCTGTTTTCTGACCCCCAGATAAGTTTATTGGGGTGCACAATATATCAACCACACAGAGCTGGTGACACAGTTTACCTCTGGGATTGACGCCAGCATTTTGCTTTTCACCAAGATGTTATCCATTGAGACGTTTGCAGATGAATCCATCTGGTATGGCGTTGCAGGTATCCTTTGCCCAGCGGCGTCACAGCCCTACCTTGCATTTGAGGATGACAGTGGTGAGCTGCGGGGTGAGACATGAGAAGCTCAGGCCTTCACACATGCCAGAAGCTGGCCTTGACTGTGGCAAAGCCATGGAGGCAGTGAACCATCAGTGGTTTCTGTGTTCCAGCATGGTTCAGCTTTACATCGAGTTTCGTCTTTGCATTGCAGATGACTTACCCCGGAAACGGTTACCTCAGCTGTATAAACCGCCCACTCCTGAGATGTTGGCGTATCTTGATTTTAGTGTCTCCACAACCGGCATGCTTACGGGAGTGAAGGTAAATCCTCTCACTCTGTTCTGGTGAGATGCCAGCCGCAGGGAACGGACATGCCCGCTCTTCCAGGGAGGCCAGCTGGCCGTACCAGAGGCCAGTGGGTGGAGGAGGGTCAAGTGTCCTAGCTGTATTTAACTCTGAGCACTGGCTCTTCCGGAGAAAGTTATCCCAAAGGATTTGCACTGTGAAGTGCTGTGGCCTCATACGCGTGCTCCACATAGTAAGAGCTCTAGGTAAGGCCAGCGTGCAGCAGCCGTCAGCTCAGATCCTGTGAGACGGTCAGCTGCAGGGTGGAAACCTGTCTGCTTGGTTTGCGCTTAGGCCAGGCTGTGCAGCAGTACGTCCGTATGTCATGCGGAGCTTGTGGGCCGAGCTGGAGAGAGCAGCGCTGCCCTGCGCCAGCTCCACCCGTGCGCCCTTGCTTTGCAGATGTCCCACTCCGCGGTCAACGCCCTCTGCAGAGCCGTCAAGCTCCAGTGTGAGCTGTACTCCTCGCGGCAGATCGCCATCTGCCTGGACCCGTACTGCGGCCTTGGCTTTGCGCTCTGGTGTCTCTGCAGGTAAGAAGGAGAGCCCGCCTGGGGGCTGGGGCTGCGGCCATCGCATCCTCCTCCCCTTTGCTCTCTTGGTTTGGCTAACTTGAGTAAAGCCCTGCTGTTCCCAGTAGGAGCACTCGTGTCTTTCTGACGCTTGTGTAGGTTCGTGTGCACTGCTTTTTTGCCCTCCTCACTCAGCTTTCTGCCCGATAACGTGGCACTGCCCCTGTTTCCTGCTTTCTCTGCCATCCCATGACCCTAGTTATAGAAGCCGAGCCAAGTAGAAGGATGATTCTCAGGTGAAGTCTGGCATGTTTGACAGCCAGGATGTCCCCCAGGCTTGGCAGGAAGGCATGGTGGGATGGAGTGACATCATGTGCCAGGAACGCGGCAGTCTGCCCTGACCAGATTGCTTCCTGAGGACTGGCAAGTCCCTGCTCTTTCCACTGCCTGCCAGGAAATGGTATCTCAGGCCTGAACTTTCACTTCCTGTACAAACGCCATGAAGGTTTCACGAGTCCCTGTCACTCCTCAGCACCTTCCTTCTGTGTCCCTGTCTTCACTGGGGTGGGGCTGTCCACGGAGTCCAAAGTAGAATGTAGCTGTCATCTTCAACTTCCTCTGCCAGTTCCGTGCAGTGTCCACTGGTTCCGTTGTTCCCGTTACCTGCCGATATATTGAAATCGCTTCTGGGTCTTGGAAAAATTAAACAAGACCAAGACTGGAAATGTGTACCTGTAGTCCCAGGAACCTGAGAGGCTAGGCGAGCACGGTTGTGTAACAAGACCACCTCTCCAAAAGGGGAAGGAGCGGCTGGGGAGACGGTGCAGTGGTGAAGAGCACTTGCTGCTCTTGGGAAGAACTCACGTCCAGTTCCCAGCAGCCACGGGGCACCACAGCTGTCTGTGGCTCCACTTCCAAGAGACCTGATGCTCCTTCTGACTTCCAGAAGCACACACGTGATACACTTACGTACATCAAGCAAAATACTCACATACATAAAATACAAACAGCCAAGTAGCAGTGGCGCACGCCCTTAATCCCAGCACTTAGGAGGCAAAAGCAGGTGGATCTCTGTGAGTTCGAGGCCAGCCTGGCCAGGTCTGCAAATCAAGTTCCAGGATAGCCAGAGCTGTTAAACAGAGAAACTGTCCCAAAAAAATAAAATAAACAAAGTCTTCTTTTAAAAGGAAGACAAAGCAACAGAATGGGTGCCAGCTCGCTCCTGTAAGTCAGGCTTGGGAGACTGCAACAGAGGGTTGACCATGAATTCAAGTCTCCTGCTGTGGGCTAGTGGGGTTATTGAAATTTTATACCCTTCCATTTTACGTGGAAGAACAAATCTAATGAGGCCGGGAAATGCTGGCGCACGCCTTTAATCCTGAAACTCAGGAGGCAGAGCCAGGTGGATGTCTGTGAGTTTGAGGCCAGCCTGGTCTACAGAGCGAGATCCAGGAAAGACACAAAGCTACAAAGAGAAACCCTGTCTCAAAAAAAAAAAAAAAAAGGCTAATGAGGCCTTCTCTGGACTGGATGGACCGAAACCCCAGCTCCGCTGTTACTGGACTCCTGGGTTTAGAGGGCTAGACTTCGTGGCTGTAGATCTTCTAGGTGACTCCACATTCCTTCAGTTTTGTCCCCCTGCACTGTTGGAACCCAGCCCTGGCCACCCCTCACCCAAACTCTGTAGTTCCTTCTAACCATCTCCCGGCCATGGTCCGCTCCAGCTCCAGTTCCTGCTCCACGGTGGTTCATGACGACTTAGGGCCCCACTTCATGTGACCCCAGCCTCGGGCCTCGCTCCCTCTGCACTCTGTTCCAGGGATGCGGGGCACGCTCCATACTTCTATATGCTTCTCTCTGCCTTCTCTCCCCATCCCACTTCTAGACACTCATCTGGAGTGCTCCCCACTTAGTGGAGCACCCCACCCCCACTTCCTCAGTTTGAGTGGACTCTTTCTCCGGTGCTCTTGCTGGTTCTGTGAGGTGGTTACCACACCTACCCGAGCCTGCTTTGTTTGCGGTCACGTGTCTTGCGAGTCCTGCAGGAGTAAGATGAATGGTCAGCCGTGCACCCCTGCGGCCCTCTGCCGCCTCTCCCCTGCAGTGCTCTAAGGGGCTGGAGTCAGCAGGTGGCAGCCTCCACTTCCTCCTTGCAGCGTCTATTCCGGTCACCAGTCCGTCTTGATCCCTCCTCTGGAGCTGGAGAACAACCTCTTCCTCTGGCTGGCCACCGTCAACCAGTACAAGATAAGGGACACCTTCTGCTCCTACTCGGTGATGGAACTCTGCACTAAAGGCCTGGGGAACCAGGTGGAGGTGCTGAAGGTGAGGAGCCAAAGGTCACAGCAAGTGACCGTCCTAAGAGCTTTGACGACGTGGCCAGGGCTTGAGAAAACTGGAGCAGGGGGTGGTAGACATGCTTGGCTGCCCTCGATCGGAGAGTTTAACTTGCTCTTCCTAATTTAGTGCATTCCCCAGTAAAGGAAGACCTCAGAACACCCCTAAAGAAAAGGTCCTCACTTAGGCGTGTATCCAGTGTCCACACATGAGGATGTCAAGTACTGAAGTCTCTTCAACAGAGAAGTAGGGCCAGACCTAAAACAAAAGGTGGAGAGTTAGCTGCCCAAAACTCTGGGCTTGTTTTTCTACTGGTCCTAATAAATGAGGAAATCTGAGGGAAAGTGGGCAGGAACAGAAATACATCCGAAGAAAGAAAAGCCAAAGAGTTCGGAGTTTAGGGTGAACTCTTTGTGGTGGTGGCAATGAAACCCAGGGCCCTGTGCATCCTAGACTAGTGCTTTCCCATCTACTCACAGCCCAGCCACAGCCATAGCCTGGCCACAGACACAGCCACAGCCACAGCCACAGCCCACACCTTAAGAATTTAGATTAAACAAGAAAGACACAGAGCAGAGAAGATCTCCCCGTGGGCGATTGTGCTGAGATGTTTGAGCATTTCCTTTCTGAAGCTGCTTGGCGCCATGTCTGGACTGAGAAAGTAGCTCTTGGCTTTTCCTGAACAAGAAGGGATCTTCCTAACTGTGTTTCTGGCACCAATGTCTTCCAGACCCGAGGGATCAACCTCTCCTGCATCAGGACCTGTGTGGTGGTGGCAGAGGAGCGGCCCCGCATCGCCCTCCAGCAGTCCTTCTCCAAGCTCTTTAAAGACATCGGTCTGTCCCCTCGCGCTGTCAGCACGACCTTCGGATCCAGAGTCAATGTGGCCATCTGTTTACAGGTAACGCCAAGAGATGGGTCTTGCTGTTGGTGCTTCTTCGAGACAGTCGCCTTGTGTTTCCTCACCTCTAACTCCAGGCGGTCTTCCTGCCTTGGTCCTCTGAGAGCCACGTGGACTGTGAGCTTCTGCAGTGGGGACTTAAAGGCCACACTGCTCTGCTTACTTCCTGTGGGACGTAGGCTTTTCATCTGGCCTTCTCTGTGTCTCCTTGTGTAGTCTACACCGTGACACTTCTGCTTGCCCCAGGGTTGGCTGCAGGTCTGCAGTTACTAGGGAAGCCCTGAGACAGCACAGGCCAGTGGCTCTGAGACCTGCTTGCATTTTATTAATCAATATACAATATACAGCCTCTTTTATTTATTTATTTGTTTTTTCTGAGACAGGCTTTCTCTGTATAGACCTGCCTGTCCTGGATCTCACTCCGTAGCCCAGGCTGGCCTTGAACTCACAGAGATCCACCTGCCTTTGTCTCCCGAGCGCTGGATTAAAGCTGTGTGCCACCGCTGCCTGGCTAATATTACAGCCTTCTTTTTTTCCTATCCCCTACATATTTTTGCCTTTTTAAAATACACCTGTACCTCTCCTTTTTGCCATGTTGTCTTGGTGGGTCTAGAACAGTCTGATTTTATGCTGCTTGAAGGCTCATGAGTACATGGGCAAGAGTGAAAGGTGGCCAAGACATTGGGTCTCCTATGACCATGGTCACATGGCTTGCAGGAAGTGCTGTGATACTTCCTGTGAAGTCCCATTGTGTCCCTTGCTCCCATCCGTTTTGGCATGGTGGCTTCTCTCGTCCCTGCTCTGAGCCCTGTGCAGGAAAGCCCCTGCGTCTGGTACTGTTTCATCGCTTCAGAGACATCTCAGAAGACACCAGGCCCAGGGCTCCCCTACCTACTGGCTTTGCCGTCTCCCTTGGTTGAAGGGAAAGCGAGAGTGAAGATTTCAGTGGACGGACGCCTGCATCTGTGGATGTGGTCCACAGGGCGGTCCATTTGCACCTGTGGATGTGGTCCACAGGGCGGTCCATTTGAAATAAACACTGTGCTGCTTTGTTCTTCTTCAGGGAACCTCGGGACCTGATCCCACGACTGTGTATGTAGACCTGAAGTCGCTGAGACATGACAGGTACAGTGAGCAAAGAGCTCGGCCTCAGGGTCAGCACCCCTGATCCTCTTCCTGTTTAGATCTTGAGGGGAGATAAAGGAAGGGAAAGGATTCCTGTCTATTATTAAAAGTGATAGAAGTTTTGCTTATAAAAAGAAAGCTTTAATTCTCACAGTTGCTTCTTTGGTGTTTGTTTGGTTTTTACACCCAAAGAGGTGGGATAGGATTTGAAACGCCAGTTTGTTATGTAGCCTAAGCTGGCCTCAGCTTCACAGTCCTCTTCCTGCCTCTGATTCTGCTGGATCTCAGGCATGTGGACCATGCCTGGCTTGCTGCGCTCTTCTGTAATTAAAATGTAACCTTAGTTCCTAGCTATATAAAATATTTTTGTGGGACCGAGCGTGGTGGCACACACCTTTAATTCCAGCACTTGGGAGGCAGAGGCAGGTGGATCTCTGTGAGTTTCAGGCCAGCCTGGTCTACAGAGTGAGTTCCAGGACAGCCAGAGCTGTACAGGAAGTCGCTGTCTTAAAAAGAAGAAAAAGAATGGTTTCTTTGCTCTGGGGCGGTCGAGATAAATGAGGCAGGACGGGGTCTGTGACAGCAGCGAATCCACTCCAGGGTTTGCAGCCGCTCCTCCTCAGCTGAGGAGATTTTAGCTTTGTCCCACAGCACTGCTGAGACACTGAGCCCTCTGCACACCAGGCTGGTGGCCGGTCCCTAGTGTTCCCACGTAGAGTCCAGGCTGCAACGTGGTGGTGGTTTATTTTTAGTGTGTGTGTCTGTGTGTATGTGTGTGTGTGTGTGTGTGTGTGTGTGTGTCTGTGTGTCTGTGTATGTGTGTATGTGTGTATGTGTGTCTGTGTGTCTTTTGTAGGCCGGAAGACAACCCCAGGTTTTGTTACTCAGTTCCTCGGGAACCATGCCCTTGTTTTGTGAGACAAAGCTCTCTCTGTGAGACCTGTGACTTACCAGTTCTGCTGAGCGGGCTAGTTTCATGGATGCCCTGGTCTCCACCTCCCAGCACTGGGACCATAGGCCTGTGCCAGCCCAGTTGGCTTCTGACATGATGCTGAGGATGGTCCTCGTGTCCTCCTGCGCCTACGCAGCATTCTTGCCCCTCTTCCCCAAAGATTTCACCATGCCTGGAACATTTTTGATTGTCACAGTGGGAGCTGCTGTTGAAATCTAGCAAATAGGGCCAAGATGTTGCTAACACCCTCCACAAACTCTGTCTGACCTGTGGCATCAAGAGTGCAGAGTGTAGGGCTGGAGAGATGGCTCAGAGGTTAAGAGCACTGGCTGTTCTTCCAGAGGTCCTGAGTTCAATTCCCAGCAACCACATGGTGGCTCACAACCATCTGTAATGAGGTCTGGTGCCCTCTTCTGGCCTG